CTTCCCGCCCCCGCCCCCACCACCAGCCTGTCCTCTGCACTCAGTTTTCCATCAACCCACAGTCTCAGCCCTGGCAAGAAAAGGACTGTGTGTGTGCTTGGGGACAGGGACAGGGAGTAAGACAGGAGAAAGACCTGCCCCCCAGAGGAGGTCCAGCTGGGGCCTACCTGCACTGCCAGCCCCCCGGAGCCTGGCTCTCTGTGCTGTTCACTGGTGCCCACCCCAGCCTCGCACACTACCAGTGCTCGGCTAACTCTCAGTGCAGCAACCATGAGTGGGCAGGACAGCCCAGGTGATGAGAAGTGACAGTCGGGGCCTAGATTGGGACAGCAATCCTGGCTCTGTCGCCATCCAGCCACCGCCTGCTCTGACCCCAGATTCCCAGACGCCTGCAGCCGATCAGCTTCCAGCATCCACGGGAGGTGCTCTGGAAGGCAGACCTCCCACCAGACCCCACCCCCACAGGCTCTGGGGCCCAGGAATCTGCATGTATTGTTAAGGTCCTAAGTGGCTGGGATGTGCAGCATGGGTTGGGCACTTCTCCCCAGGTGGGACTGGGTCACAGCCTGTGGAAGGGCACAGGCACGTCTACATTGTCCACATGTGGACACCCTGCCAAGCATGGTGCTGCTGAAGGGGCACAGGGGGTAGATGAGCACCTTCAAGGTGGACAGTCAGGCGGAGAGGACGGGGGGACTTCAGGGGAAGGAGACATGGTCTGTAGGCCAGAAGCTAAAGAGCAGGGTCCAGGAAGAGCAGTATCCAGAGCTCTAGAATGGGGGCTCCCAGGACCCCATCACTGGGGGTCCACTGCCTCTCCTGTCAAGCAACAGACTAAGTCAGACCTAATAATCCCCGAGGGCCCCTGAGCCAGGGAAGCACCCTGTAAGCCACGATCTACATTTTGGACTAAATCCTGGCCAGGCAGAAGAGGGGAATGTGTCTCTAAGAATGACCTGGTGTGGCTGCCAGCAAATCTTCGGCTCCAGAGGTGACAGAACCATCGTGCTCCTGGCCAGAAGGGAGCACACACTCGCCCCCCTTATTGGCTCCCCACTGCCACCTGATGGGAGCAGAACTCGGAGGTTCTTCTGTCCAGGAGCAGCCAGACATGACATCAGGAAGCAGCACAACGGGGATGCAGCCCCCTGTGGGGGCGTCCTCACCTGAGCTCGTACCGCAGGGCTCATGGCCAGAGCTGCAAGTGTGTGTGTGGAGGTGCCCATGGGATGCCATGTCCCAGCACCTTCCCAAAGGGTCCACATGCCCAAAAAAGTTAAGAAGCTGCTATGGTTTGAATGTGCCCCCCACAAACTCATGGATTGGAACTTAATTGCCATTGTAACGCCATTAAGACGTGGAGTCTTTAAGAAATGACTAAGCCCTCAGGAAGAGATTAAGACCATTACAGCGGGATTAAGTTAGTTATCGCGGGAGTGGGCTCCTGATGAGAAGATGAGTTTGGCCCCCACTCTCTCTCTCTGTCTCACGTGCTCACCTTTGCATCCCGCCTTCCACCGTGGGATGACCCTCGCCAGATGCCAGCGCCATGCTCTGGGGCTTCCCGGCCTCCAGAACTGTGACCAAACAAACATCTCCTCTTTATAAATTACCCAGTCCGTGGTGTTGTTATAGCAGCAGAAAACAGACTGAGACAGCAGCAGTCTCTTGGGAAGCCTGTTATCAGCAGCTGGAGATGCTCTCGGAGGCGGTGCCTAGCCAATGGGGCCATGACCCAACCCTGGTTCTGTGGGGCACTTTAAACTGCGTAGGCATCCTTAAGCACAGCTGAGTTTCCACCTTGGGTGTGTGGAACAATCTAGTCCCAAAGGTGTCATTGTAGCAGTTTCCAAATGTTCAAATATTTAGCAACAGCTTAACTGCCCAACACTAGGACCCAAAGAAATAAAGCAGGATGCGCCCACATGGTAGAATTC